AGTAACAGGAATGAGCATCATCCCTTGAGTAGAAAGCTCTCACTCTGCTTAACAAACTATCTCCAACCCTGTTGTTCTGCTTCCACTGGTAGGTGTAGTTAACTTTCCCATTTTTGTCATTTTTCCATCTTTTCTTTGAAAAGCCCAATGAATTTTGAGCCAAGCGTTGCTCATGCCTGATTCTAGGTCCTCCCTGTATTTTTGTCGTTCCTTCTCTAAATATCTTTCTCTCCTCTCTGAGTCGGCATCACGTCGAGCACGATAGCGTCGCTGCTTTTCTGCAACACTTAGGGGTGGATTGGCACCCTGTAAGTATGGTATCCACATTGTGAAACTGATCTTAAATCTCAACAAATTCAGTAATTTCAACTGTAAAACTTAAAAGTTGAATAGTATTACACTGACTAATATTCACACTAATAAATCAATAAACCAGAGGGCTCCACTCACTCCTGTTACTGGCACTCAGTCCTGTTACTCTTTATATGAGTAACAGGACTGAAAGTAACAGGACTGAGTTTTTAGTATAGAATTAGCAAAAACATGAAATATAGCTACATGATAATATCCAAGAATTAATTTAGGTATCAGGACAGAACATTGAGATTGACCTCCTCAGTCATAGTTAAAATTTTATCAAATATAGAGGGAAAAAAGGAGGGAACTTACTTTTCATCTACCCATGGCCTTCAGAAGATCCAACAGATGCAACTTCCTGTTGAACATGTGACTTGTGGAATGTTCCAAATTTTTCAGATGGGGTAATGTGTTAAGGTAACAGTACTGAGTGAAAACCTAGGGACACAACTAAAATGTGTATTGTAACTTAAATATTATGGTTTTCTTATGAAAAAAATATTTTCAAAGCACAGATGGGATTTGGAGTCACACAACAATGCAAAAAAAATTAAATCTCTGAAGGATTTTAATAATTATATTTCAAGGTAAAGTGTATAGTTAGAGAGTGGGGACAGGTAACAAATGGTATTTTTTCAGTGTTCTAGGTAGTTTTTATTAATGTTTTTAATTATATATCTTAAATTTACAATTAGGTCAATGTACAAGATACTATGCTTAATAATAAAATGTATTTTACAGTTATTTTTTGTGCATGTAATTTCCTGGAGACGGAAATGGCACCCATTCGGTGGAATGGCCCAGAATCTGTACCTCTGGAGCTGCATATACTCCATTGTTACATGTTTTACTGTAAGGGAGTATCAAACAAACTGCACTGACTGACATTTTGGCACCCACATACAATTTGCATTCTTTAAACCTTTAACAACTAGCTCTATACTCATTTATTCATTAACTCCAAACATGCACATTCTTGTCTGAATGTAAAAAAAACATTTTCTTTGCCAATACCAATAATTCATAAATACACATACGGTCTCATAACATGGTCACCCAGTAATGTCTTACACATCATTTAAAACCTCTTTCCTTGGTCAAACATTCAGATGTTAAAAAACGTGAGAAAAGGATTAAGAGTCTTTAATAAACAGGCTAACAAAAGGCAGTACTTCCAGAGTAAATTGTGGAGTAAAAAAAGGGGGGGTGTAACCTCAAAAGACTGGGTCATGTCTATTCTGCTTGAACAGAGTTGAAGCAAACATACATATGTTTTCCCAATTGTGAACATTTTTGGTGAAGAACTGCTGTGGGAAAAAAGAACACATAAAATAATGCTGTATAATCCATAACACCCATGTCAATCCATTGTAGATATTATTAAACATTAGTGGTGTCAATTGATTAAAAAAACAAAAAAACAATAATAGTCTGTGATTAATCATGATTACTCATGCTTTTAAAATGGTAGTATTTGCTTGTATTTTTTGGAAGTTGAAACAAATCCATGAGTGATCTTGGAACAAAGAAATGCATGACAAACTGGTAAGAGGGGCAGTTGAAACCATTCAGTTGCATGGGGAACTGTGCCCCCAGTTTCTTTTCTTTATTTTTAAATTTTGTGTTGCAACTTTGAATTAATTAGTTATGTGAAACATTAGTCTAATTTTTTATTCACATGAATATTTGCCCCAAAATTTTATTTTTAGCTCTTAAAAAATTACCGAGGTCTGGACCTTGGTGACCTCATAGCTGACTACGGCCCTGGTTATCATATGAATAGTTCTATTTGCAAATGGATGGGTGGTCAGGAACTCAGAAACTGGACTTTTGTTATTTTTATTCCACTAAGAAAGCTCTAAAAATATATTTAGTTTCTACCAATATATAAATACAATACATATATACAGTGCTCAGCATAAATGAGTACACCCCAACAGATTTGTCAGAAAACCTTTAGTTTCCTTTCAGAATCAACATTATCTATGAGATATTATACTACAAAATACTCCCACAAATGTCGGCCATTGATTGCAAACAAGATTTGTTAATTCGCTCACACAAAAAAGGAAATGTCCTAACAAATTCATTTAAGACCATGTTGCAAAAATGAGTACACCCCATTGAAAGTCTTAGGAGCAAAGCTAAATTTTAGATTACAAAATTCTAATTAACAAGATATCAACCATAGGTGCATCTAATTATTCATTAAACAGGCATTTTGACCATAAAAGGGCATTAATTAACAAAGAAACCTCTTCCCATTCCATGCTGTCGGCAATGGCACCACATGGAACGGAAAAGTCACAAGACCTGGGAAGGACAATAATTTCTTTACACAAGAAAGGTGAAGGCTACAAGAAGATCAACAAAGCTGTACTTATCAGTCAAAATACTCTAGCAAAAATGATACAAAATTTTAAGAAAGATGGAACTGCAACCGTCTCACAGAGACGTCCAGGCCGTCCACAGAAGTTAGCACCTTGACGGGAGCGTCTTCTGATGAGAAGGGTTGAAGAAAATCGCCATGCAAGTTCACTGCAGTTTGCTAAAGAAGGTGAAAGCCAAACTGGGGTGACACAATACGATGTACACCACAGAGGAATGGCATCCATGGGTGTCGTTCACGAAGGAAGACTCTCCTAAAGCCCACACACAAAAAACCCAACTAGAATTTGCCAGGGCCCATGCTGAAAAAGATAAAGACTACTGGGACTCTATACTCTGGAGTGACGAGACCAAGGTAAATGATTCTGGTGGCTTCAAAACTGTATGGCGTCGCAAATGTGAGGAGTACAGAGAAGAATGCATGGTGCCTACAGTGAAAAACACACAGCTAAGGTCACTGTTGCATTTCTGAAGAAGAACAGGGTGAAAGTGATTCAGTGGCCATGTACACTCACCTAAAGGATTATTAGGAACACCTGTTCAATTTCTCATTAATGCAATTATCTAATCAACCAATCACATGGCAGTTGCTTCAATGCATTTAGGGGTGTGGTCTTGGTCA